AATTGATAAATCAAGATCATTGAACAGAATCTTTGTTCAATTCTGGAGTAAAGGTCTCCAAGACCATGAATGGTAAGCACACAAAGTGTTTCTGTACTAAACAAGGGCAAGCAGGTGACTTTCAGGTAGGAAGAACAAAAAAAAGAAAGAAGAAAAGGATATTCCCACAGTCTGGCTGCAATTGATATGTACAGTTCACTAGCCATCCAAGAAAAATCAGTCTCTAGCAGTATTGCAGGCAAAACATCCCATTGTTACGCCTATTCTCATCAACATTCACATGCTGGTTTAACTTATTCACATTCTTACAGCTAGATGTCAGCATTGATTCCATAAAAAGTCTACAACTTGCAAATACAGTCGAGATATAGCCATCATATCATCATCCAGTTAAACAAGGTTCTGAAACAAGCGTCAAGAATAATGGTAGAATCAGTACAAATGGGGTAGTCAGAATGTGCAATCTCAAACCGCCCCTCGTTTTCAGGTTGCCTAATTAAGCAACAGGAGGGCGGAGTACGTGATCTTGTGAGGTGTCGACCGCTGCAGGTGGCATGAACTGCCACATGGCAACTCCTGGGTAGCTGATGAAAGGAACCAACTTGTTTCCAGCTGCTTGGCCTTGAGCAGCAAAAGTGGCAGGGATGGCTGGAGGCAAGAAGCCAGGTTGTGAATTCATGTCTTTTAGTTGCTGCTCCAACTTCTCTTTCTCCATTTTTAACCTCTGCTTCTCATCACGAAGCTCATTCTTTTCAGCCTAAATAAGTGGGAAAACAGAAACTTGGATGTCTTATTAGTATGCAGATCGACATCTTCACATCACAAATGTTGTAATATGTAACAATCTTTCAGATGGAATACTACAACGTAATGAAATAAATAGAGATTTTCTTGGTCAGATAATTGTAGAAGACTGACCTTCAACTCTTTAATCTTCTCTGATAGACTTGTATTTGAATCTTTCAACATCTTCGCTTCACCACGTAACTGAGCGACAATTCGAACAGCATCAATCAAAATGGCAGCCTTGTCGGTCTTAGGTGGTCTTCCGGGCTCCAAAATAGCACCCAATTCCAGAAACCTGTCAAGTTTCATATGTATTCATTCCTAATAGAAATAAAACATACACATCTCCATAATGAGCATTGTTGTGTGAACGAGCGAGCAAGAGAGAAAGGGGAGGAGCTTTACTTGTCATTTAGTCTGTCTCTCCGCAGCTTCTCCCGACACGCTTTTGAGCTAGATGCGCAACTTGTTTCAGTTCTAACCCTGCAGAATTTTGTTCGTCTGTGTATTATTTACTCTTTTATCCCTAACCTTTGGATGGAGGGATGAATGAGATGTTGAATAATTTGTTCAAGGAACAGACTGCTTCTATACGTATCGTTACGATCATCAATACAGATTCCATCGAATCTAAAAAGGAACTAGACTAAAAAGATAAATACAATCGCTATATGAAAAATTTCCCCCAAAAGAAGATTTTTAAGAGTTAATCAATTTGCAATAGCTCTTTCTCTACAAGGCTTCTAAGAATAGCAACAAGAAGGTGAGGGCTGGAAATGGCCTCTCCCTCCCAGACCCTAAGGATATCTTAGTCCTTCTCTCTTCTTCATCTGCTGATTTTAGGGCGACAAAACGCACTCAGTTTCTTTGATCTTGAATCGGGTTCACGAGGAGAAAATTTTCCAAAACCTTATTTACTTAAAAAAAGTTTGCTGGTTTTCTGCAAATATATATGAAATATACAATTTTTGGCTTAAGAATATAGATTTATTTCTAATCATTTGTTAGTGAAACTAGTCATTTTATAAAAATAATTAATATTTATATAGTTAATTATAAAATAGTGCAAATAATACCTGTAAAACTTCAGAGATTTGAGTTGTGTAAAACTTCAGAGATTTGAGTTGGGTGTGTTTGTCGAAGTTTAGATCAAGGTGAACGGTGCATTCTTCATCTGCACCTCTAAAATCAATTTAGTAAGAAAAAGGTTATTCCCATATCCAACTCTAATGTCGAAGGAGTCTCCACCTCGTTAGAGTTGGGTTTCCATAGGAGCTTGCCTATAAGAACTTCACCACCCCTAGATGTTCACAAGGGATAATGGGGTAATGCATTCTTCTAAATGTTACAGTCTGGAGCATACCCAAATGTCACATTCAAGTTCTAATTTGTTAACAAGTCTGTTTCCCTTTGTTTAAATCACAATGTTATCTCTAATCTTGGAGGCTCAAGAATATGAAAAAATGTCTGAGAAATAGGATTGCAACAAACCAGGGAACTGTAGAACCATCAAGAGCCAAGAGGCTGGTATTTACCTCTTTTTTGAACCAGGCTCCTTCAGGCCATCCGATTCGAACAATGATCCTTCAATTTCCGTGCTAGCAAAGGATGGAGCAAAAAGTTTGATGAGTAAATGCAAAATAATAGCTCCCAACCATCCACCATCACCAAAAAGCAGAAATTTTCGAAATGGTAAAATTAAATAGACAGTGAATGTGAATATATAACAGAAGTGCCGAGGGGGAGGGGAGAGAGATTTTTTTTTACTAAATGCAATAACATATCAAAGGAATGTATACAGTTAGAAGAAACTCAGACAGTAACCAAAAGATTAAGTCACTGTTCCATATCGAAAGGCACGAAGAACTCTATAAGTGCACCAGCACTCTCTTTGCTAACATACTAGTAGTTTAGGTAGAATATTGTCTGCTTTGGCCCGTTACGTATCACTATCACCCTCACAGTTTTAAAACGAGTCTACTAGGGAGAGGTTTCCACACCCTTATAAAAAATATTTCGTTCCCCTCTCCAATCAATGTGGGATCTCACAATCCACCCCCCTTGGGGCCCAACATGCTCGCTGGCACACCACCCGGTGTTTGGCTCTGATATCATTTGTAACAGCCTGAGGTCACCGCTAGCAGGTATTATCTGCTTTGGCACATTACGTATTGCCGTCAACCTCACAATTTCAAAACGCGTCTACTAGAGAGAGGTTTCCACACCCTTATAAGGAATGCTTCATTCCCCTCTCCAACAAATGTAGGGTCTCGCAGTTCAAATGTTGAAATAATATTAGAAACATTCATAATTCAAACAAACAAAAGTTATGTTCAATTACAGGACTCAAAATCTTCCATCAATTCATAGACGTTAACTAAGCAATTTGGGAAATAAAAATGAAGCTTGAAAGACAGGTAAATGACAAGTTCCTCTCGAGGATAGTTAAATAAACCAGATCCTCTACTTTGACCAAATAATCTTTCCTCGAAGTATACATATAATATTTAAGAGACACCAGAGTGAAAGAAAGCAGTCAAAGGCTCATGCCTGACATGAAGAAAGTACAGACCATTAAAAGTTCAAAATAAAGATCATATAAAGTTTCCCTTTATAAAAATAAATACATTTCAAAGTTCATTTCATTATAGCTTCACGTTAAGGGAATATTTACCTGTTAGTACTGAACTAAAAACAAATTTCGTAAGTCAATAGAACTTGCCAATTGCGTTCCTAGTTAATGGGGGAAGATGGTTTGGAACAATACTTGGAAGGGAAAATTTCTTAATATTTATTTAGTCAACAAGAAAAAATGACTCTGACCAAGCTAGAGGGTGAAAATGTGTTAAAATTCAATGAAACAAGTTATTCATACTGCAAATTTTGAACCCACCCATTTAAATTTCCAACCTACAAGCTTCAATCAAACACTTCAAGCTGTATAAATTAGTACTAAATTAAGAGAGAAAATGAAAGTTGCAGACGCAGATACAAATCGAAGTAGCAAGATCAAAGTCTTAAGCATAGCAACTGCTCACAGTCGAATCTTAGATCATAATTAGAAGTCCATAAGTGCATACTCGAGGGAATTTTCACATACACACACACACAAGAATCCGACAAAAGGGTCAGCAATCTATGAATTGTCAACGGCTAGAACAGGAAAATGGAACAAAATTGAATCCAGATGAGAGAGAAATAAAACCTGACATTGGAGGAGGCGTTGAGCGGTGGCATGGACCAGGAGAAGCCAGCAGTGGGGGCAGAGAAATTGGCATCGGCAACAGGAATATCATCCATTAATGCATAATCGAAGAGCCAATTGGTGGTTTCGGGGGATACCATGTCGACGGCGATTCAACAGGAAGGGCGATGTTCGGAGCTTCAGTTTCGTTGGAATTGAAGAAGTGAAGCTGAAATTTAACGGAGAGATGAGAAAAAATGGAGAATCTGAATCGGATTTGGGGAATAAGGGAAAGAAGTGGTGGCGGGTAGCCGTCGGGAAGATAGATTCGTCACCCCTCCGTCACAGAGTTGAGTTGACGATATCTCGTTTTGGGCTTTTCCCTTCTATAATGGGCCTTCATAATTATTTTAATAAAATTATTGGAAAGAGATCATTATGGTCACAATAATAACAATAATAATTAATAATAAGAAGGATGACATCACGCATTTGTTGCATTTCGAAAAGAAAAATATTCTCCTTTGTTTTGAAAGTGAAAGATGATGTCAAAATTTTTGGTTAAATTATAAAAAAAAAAAATATACCAAATTTTAGTTTTCCTTTTCATAATTCAATTCTGATGAACTTTAACATTAACATCTTCCACCTCTATAAAAAATTAAAAAAAGACTCAGAGACATGAGAACATATGAACAAGGTTGAGGGATGAAAGTTCCACGTTGGCTAATTTAGGGAATGATCATGGGTTTATAATCAAGAAATACTATCTCCATTCGCATAAGCTCTTTTGAGGAAGCTCAAAGCAAAGCCACGAGACTTTATACTCAAAGTGTACTTTGTTCGAGGGGATAGATACTATCTCCCCCTTTTGGGGGGAAGAAGCCGACATGCTCAAAATGGACACAATATCACCGTTTTTATTGTTATGTTTATCATCTTAAACAATCTCTTCTCAATTAGAGAACAAAATGACAATATTATAAGCCATTAATCATTTGATATGAGGTTAGAAATGCAATTATCTACACATTTCGAAAGTGTTTGTATTCCCGTCCATAGAAGTTGATCAGAAACATACATATGTTTGAGATCCATAGAGCATATGTAAATTAAGTTTAAGTTAAACACGTTTTTCATTACAAGTTTGGCCATGAACTTAAACATCTTGATCAGAATCCTTGCTCTTTGAGTCAGCACCTCTATTCGTTTCTAACTTGGGAATCTTGATCTCAAGAATTGTGTCATTCTTCATCCGAGCCTCTATTCTACAACAATCAACATCTTCAGGCAACTCAAGTCGCCGAACGAATCCGTGCTCCCACCAATTGGCACATCGCCAATCGACAAGCTTGGTGGCTTCTCTTTGTTGTTCCTTCAACTGACCACTTATCTCTAACACCTTCCCGTCTTCTACGGAAATTTGCAAAGCGTTTCTCCAAGGTTCTGTGTGTTTGTAAAATTTTGGTTTGTGTCAATCAAACATATCACTCAATCTTTTTGAATGAGTAGCTACAAAGAGAGTTGAAGGCCCTTTTGAGAGTCTCGAAGTTCATAACATAATTTCACCATTAAAATCTATTCTCTTTATCATTCTTTCAACTTTCAACTTCAACTCTCTGCAAAATAAATATTTAAGAAATTTAACTTAAAAATCACTTTCTATTTAATATATTTGTTTTGAAGTTTAAATTTTATATATAATAATAGGTTTCAACTGATTAATTATTAGTAAAATTTTTGTAGTGGTATGAAAAAAAGGGGTGATTCAGAGGCGAGGACAATAGTAGCCACCATAAGACACCATGTCATGGTGTAGGCAGGCTACCACCTACGAACCTCAAAGGCAATATTTAACAACTAGAAACTAGACCACGCGCAGTGCATCAGCGTTTGGTTTTTTGGGATCCACAGGGGTAAACGCCGGCAAAATCCCCTTATCAGCCATATAGGTTTAGGGTTTAAATCAGCGCGTGCCGTTTCCTGCCCACACCCCAATCAAAGTTGAACGGAATTACCAATTTAAAGTCTCCATTGTTTTAAAATTCTTCGATGTGGGAGGTTCCAGTGATTTCAAATAAATTTGATCTCCCACCCTTTTTTTAAATTTTATAATCAAAATTTAATAAATATGCAACATTTAATTTTGCACCTAATAATTAATATTTTGAAAAATCCATAAAATACTTCTAGTAAAAAATAAAAAAAAAATGAAAAAAGGAAAATACCTTGTAATTCTGCTTGGAGAACGTATTCCTGGTCAGTCTGAAACCAATCAATTGAAGATTTCCCAGAGCTGCGGAGGGCTGACATCAACAGATCGGACTCAAACTCCCAGAGCGGAAAGGCATCGGCGGGGTCGAAGAACTTCCCGAACAGCAGCGGGCTGAACAACGAGCCCTCGCCCAACACCTTCTGCACACCGGAATTGGGTTGCCCCACAAATTTGCTGAAAACCTCTTCTCCAAGAGCCACGCTCCATTTTGAAGGGCTGTGGTCTGCTTTATGGACTTCCAGTTGCGGCTTCGAAGTGGCCATGCCGGCAGGGGAGCTGTGGCTAGGGCGCAACACAAACTTGGAGCTATTAATAATATTGATGCTTAAAGACATGGGGGCTTGAGAACATATGCTTTGGGCATATTTGGAGGGCTGTAAAGATATTTGGAATCTTTCCCTTTTCCTTTTTCCTACCCATCTTTTCCCTAGATGCCATCTTTTATGTGGCTACATAAGTTTACCTTTTTCAGCAACATTTACAAAGAGTAGTACTAACCAAGCTCCTAACCTTGTAGACAATATCGAATCATTGTCACCCTCTTTTATGATCGTCCATTTGGTTTGATTCGTGTCGATTTATTATGGGTATGATTTGAAATCGAGAAATTTCTTTGTTGGTTCGTTGATCTTTAAGTAGTGATTTTGTTTAGATCGTACATTCTCATGAATTTGATATTTTGTTTTGAAAAACTAAGACTTGATAGATTAGTGTGAGATTCTAAATTCTTTAAACTTTGTGTCAATCTTGTTTTGTAGTTTGTGTTTTGAAGGATGATTCTTGGTCGCACTGTTTGAACCTCTCAGCATCTCAACTATATTATTATCCCCTCATGAGCTCTCTCAGAATACTCCTGTCGGTTCTTCTAAGTGTTGCCCATATCCAAGCTCAATGTAAAGAAGAAATGGCAATCAAAGAGGCCATCACACCCGTAGTAAGTCTTTTTCTCTTTGAATTTACTCAATTTTGGTTATATTTTTCTCTCAATTTTACTGAGGAAAAATATGTTTTGTTTTAGAAAGATGTCATCACAAAGCCACCATAAAAAAGTGAGAGAAGCAAAGATCGGCTATAAATAAGAGAAGGAAATGAGAAAAATCATGACGAACAACGTTGCGAGTTATCCCACCTCCCTCGCCTTTTTCTCCGATTTGGTCCAAGACTCACCAGACAAATCATGACAAACTAACTAACTTCGATATATCTCCACTTAAACTAGGGGACCCCAAAGGTGGCCACCTTGGCCTCAACACTTGTATTCTCTGTCTTGCACACAAAGATGCACCCCTGGGATTAATAGTTAAAAATCATTCGTAACTGTTTTTTAGTTTTTAGTTACTATTTTTTAGGTAATTATTTTTGTTAAACTTGCTAACTGGAAAGTCGAGGGTTTAATTAAGTTGCCAATTAAAGTGAGTGGGAATTCCAGTGGGAGAGTTTAATTAAGTTGCCCACTTCTTTCGATTTTTAGGATGTAATTTGTTATTTAAATATACCAACTCAATTAGAAAAATCACACGGAGTGGAAAGTCCAGTTGAAGGGCTTAATTGAGTTGCCAATTAAAGTGAGTGGGAAGTGGAGGGAAGAGCTTAATTAAGTTGCCCACCTCTTTTCAGTAGTAAGATGTAATTTGTTATTTAAATATACCAACTGAGAAATAAAATCACCGAGTCTTCCGCAAAAATAATGTCTCTTTCTTTTGTTTTTCTATTATTTTCTTCTCTCAAGATTTTTTCTTAGACTTTTTTTTCATCAACAATTTTCTCCTCCGGTCAAAACAACAGGGGTGAGGCTCGAAAACCAACCATGATATTTACTCATCGTAGCACCAACCCATGTAGCAATATCTGGAAACTTGTAACATAGCCACATGTTGACACTACACTTCTTAACTAACCACCTTCATGTGGTAATCACTCCCTTGACACTTCTCTTGTCTTCATTTCTCTTTGCTCACTTCCAGTTACCCATCTTAGGTGTTAGGCGGTGATTTAATGAATACACGTGTGCTCGCACCTTGGAGCACATCTATGGAGTGGGCAACCACTCACTAGGGCTCTCCCTCACTTGAACTTGGCTGCCTCTTTGTAGCAATGTTGTCCCCCATAAGAACTTTGCGTTGTGCTCAACTGACCCCTAACTTCTTTGTTGGTAATGGTGATACTATCTTCTAATGCGAATGGTTCTTTGGAAGACACCTGACCTGATGTGCTTTCTAATTCTTTGTTCCCCACATCAGAACTCCAAGTCCTCGGCAAATAAACTTGGTTCTTGATTCACTAATGGGTAAGACTCCTCCTAGAAGAATCCGACTTCAATCCACAAAATCTTCTTGATTCTAACTTGCAATTGTCTTGCCCACTCTCATGTAGGACAAGCCTTACAGGGAGCCCCGTGTTAATTTCATTTTTCCCTTTGTAGCCTTTATCAGACATTATGCGAGGTTTGTCTTCACCAACCAAATACAACTCCTGTAGAATCGAAGTTTGTTCAGCCATACACGTTGCTAGTGTATGCATGTGAAATTGTTTGCTACTTAACCAACTTGCCTCTACATTAGTCAAGTCATCTGGCTTGACCTTGCCTCTACTCGGGACCAAGGTCTCTCATATGCAACAATACATCTCATCTCGTCATCTAGGTTCTCAATTAACATGGCCCACATGTCTTGATGTCATCCCAAGTCATGAGATGTCATCGACCATTACAACTCACTAGGTCATGCTCATCGAGAATGGACTCATGTGTCATTCATGATATCGAAACATCCCAAATTCCATCCATATAAGTACTATAGAGAAATTGGACCCTACCGTGTCTATGCCATATCATTTACGAACTTTGTAACGGATAACATGTGCATATACCAACCTCCAACACATAGACAAGGACACAATGTTGACATACCCGTGCTGTCTGACACTATCCTTCAAAGATCCATTTTAAAGGAAGTTGCCCGAGACACTTATCTCCCAATGCCCACCCTCGCTGTAAAACATGTATGTACCACAAGGTAGTTCACTTAGGCCACATGACTCAGATGTAGTAGAGAGCTGACACCATGTCTCCCCTTAAAATATGTTATGATACATTTTAAATTTTTTTAGAGTAGACATGATTTTGGTGAACGGTTATATGGTCTTATGGAGGGTCCATCTGGTGTTAGATTAACACCAAACTTTGGCGAGCATGCAAGTTTCATATGGATGAACTTAACTTTAGAGCCACATGCCTAAATTTCCTTCAAAACTCTGACTTTTGAGGTTAAGATTTGGTGCTCTACTCGAAAGTGAATTCTTGATTATATGATGTCTTAGAACATCATAGATGAACTAAAACCTCAATAATTAGGATCAAACTAACATTCAAGAAATTTAGTGTCTTCGACTTAAACCAACAAGTAATTAGCTGTTGGAACATATTTAACCAGGTTAGATGAATTGTACGATGTACGTTTAACACGTAACTTGTGGCTTGTTTACGTGTTATTATTTGTGATATGATATGCTTATTAACCATTGTGATGCATGTAATTTCGATTTATTGGTTCATATATATTATGAAACCATGATTATGTTAAGCCTATAAGATATCATGATAGGCTGTATGATAAGTATGAATGATATGTCATACACATGTACGAATTTCGCATAGGAAATTCATGTCATCAAATGTATGGAAGTATTGTGTATCATGACCATGTACCATGATTTGAAATACAGGATCTTATGCATGTTGTATGCCACAAGTACGGTTACTTTCCTTGTATATTATGTACAAACACATAAATTATGATATGATATGCACTCTCTTCTTGTCTTTGGTTTTTGGTAGGTATGCGTGTGCTAGCATGTAGTCAAGCTTGATTCACAATATATTATTATTATTATTATTTGAGGAGGAATAAAAATGTAGATATTAAAGGTCTTATTTGAATACAAAGCAGTGGGAAAGGAATAAATATTATGGGTTTGGTGTTTGGGTCTTATCTTTTTCCATATTCTTCATTTTCTCAAGAGCCAAAGCCCCTTTTTTTTATTTAGTCAATCACATTGTGAAACTTTTTAATTGGAATATGCTTTTTTAGTGTATTGGGTTTTCAGCTCTCAAAATACCATTGTCACATTCAGAGGACGAGGGCTCTTCTAAATTCTTGTTCAAACGTCAACGTGGAGATACGTGTCACTCTTTCAAAAGTTTCAATTTTATTCTTTATATTTATCATTATTACAAAACAACCATTCTATCAACTCTTTCGTTCAAATAAAGAGAAAATGTAATGTAATAGTGAGTTCGTAAGATAAAGTTTTTTAGATAAGTTTTGAAATTATTTTCATACGGTTTCATGGAAACGCGGAGTCAATAAAAAGTAGGTTTTGAAAACGAAAAAAAAAGGGAAAAGATTATGGATGGATGGAGATAATTTTTATTCTACGAGGAAAGAAATTTATTGAGAAATATTGATATTGCCTAGTAAATGAGAGCGATTCTAATGATACGATGGGTGAGAAATGCTTTAAAGGAATTAAAAATTAGTACCTATACCAACAAGGGACACCTTCCTTTTTGATAGCTTGATCATTAGTACTCCAATGTTAAGCATGATTTTTTTGGAGTAATGAGTGAGACAAAATATGCTAAAAGAACTCGTGCTGGTTTGTGGGGATAATTTTCACTCTTAGAATGAAAAAGTAAATAACGCGATCATGTCGCAAGAGATGTAGAGAAATATTAGTGCACATAGGTACCAAATCTATAATTTAAACTCCACGTTAGTCATATTTGGGGCTGAGGAGGTCTATTAGATTCCTAAGGCGGCTAGATGGCTTAACGCAAACTTCTAACTCCAGGCTACTTTGTTCCAACTCCTTGAGTCTTCCTTAGCGTGGGAGCACTAAAATCTAGATCCTCCAATGGTTACTTGGATGAAACTAGCTTTTACACGTGTTAAGAGCTTCAAAATTTCTGAAATTTTTCTGGTAGGGTCATAAATAAAATTATAATAGGGTTAGTATTGAAATTGTGACGAAAAAGTTACAGGTATCATCTGCTCATTTGCTGAGAGGAATGTTGCGTCCTAAGTTCGATCCGTAGCAAACGTAATTACCTTCAAATTTCAAGACACTAGCACTTGTCACACATCCAACAGGTCAGGGTCGCCGGTCGGATCTCAGGATACGGGTAGGCTGAACGGGATGTAGTTTGATTTCTCAGGTTGGGTCGCTCTCACCAACCATCCTTCGACACGCATCTGCACCCTAGTTCGTTGCGCAACATTGCACATCGTTGGACATGTGGCCACCAATTTTTGGAAGCGCAACGCCTCTTCCTAATCGA